GGATAAAAGCGTCTGCTAAATGACTAAATGTAAATGTAAATGTCCTCCAGGACAGGTTTGGGGACCACTGCTTTAGAGAGTTTAATGTTAGCATGTTGTCAAGTAGGGCTGGGCAATACAGCTAAAAATCTCAACATTGTTTACATATTTTAAAGGGGTCATATGATGCGATTTCAAGTTTTCCTTTCTCTTTGGAGTGTTACAAGCTGATTGTGCATAGATGAGATCCCTGAAGTTGCAAATACTAAAGTCTCAAAACCAAAGAGATATACTTTATCAAAGTTAAGACTCTGCCACGCCCCCTAAAACGGCTCGTTCTAACACGCCCCCACATGTCTACCTCACTATGTGGAAATATTTGCGTAATGCCGCCCAAATGTGCACGCAAAGAAAGAAGGCGTGGTTTCAGTAACTGCAGTTAGTTTTGATGCAGTCATGTCAGGGAGACGCTGTGTGTTTCTAGGCGAAAGCAAAATCACTTTATTTGGCCTTCCGGAAGTAGACGCATTTAGGAATCTTTAAGATTACTTACAACAGAACAGCAATGCATTTTATGGACGACCGTTTCGTGAACCTAGGAGAGGAGGTAATTCTGACTTTGCTATGACAATCTGGCGCTTCTGAATCAGCTACTGTTTTGTTATTAGTTTAAGTATTTGCTATTGACTGTTCAAATGCGGAGTTTTGCACATCGTGTGTGTGTGTGTGTGTGTGTGCGAGAGAGAGCGCGAGAGCGAGAGAGAGAGAGAGCGTGAGAGAGAGAGAGTGCGAGAGCGAGTTTTTTGAACATTAAAGCATGTCAACATATTCTGTTACACCAAATACACAAAATAATGATCTTTTAAAAAAGCATCATATGACCCCTTTAAACAAAAACTCCAACATTTTGATTGGTACGGAGTGGTTTCTCACAAACATCAATACCTCTGAAATTTGGTACCAAACAACAAGACATTTTTCGATACTTGATAGTATCGAGGCAATTTGGTCAGTGCTTAAAAAGTACCGAATTCGATACCCAGCCCTAGATGCTGCCTTAGAATTTATGACCAGCCTTCAAATCAGAAGTGTACATGTGATG